ACCCTGTTCCAGATTTAAGAAGTCCAGCTACTGTCATCTTTATGGGCAAGAGTTTACAAGCACTAGTTCCTTATCCTCAGGTCACAGTTCTAAGAGTCGAGATCAAGAAGGAAGTTATTATTCTAGGGAGACTGACCAAGAGAACAGTGGTTGGAGACGTTCGGAAATGCAGTTGAGCGTGAGTGGAGAAGGAGGATGGAGTGGAGACACTGGATGGAGTGAGGAGGATTACTGCTCCTGCCAGAACAGCGTAGACGAATTGAAAACTGTTGGACGCCCAGATACATGGTACAGGTATAATGGTGGCGAAACCAATCATTCATCACGTAGCAGCTCTGAACACCTATCTCTACTGTTTGGAAACCATAATGACTCCCCATCTAGTTCATCCAGTGTTGTAGATTGGAGGCATCCTAAGAATCAAATTGTCAGTGACATTGGCTGTGACTGCACATCAAATTGTTTGTACTCCCGGAGTTCTGGATACCACACCATGGACGCATATGCCGATGAATCATGTTGCGGGCCATCCCGAAGCCTTAGTTGTTCAACTGTTGGAATGACAGACTATGATGATGGTTGCCAAAATCTACACTCCTCTTGCGAGCATTGCCTCTGTGATATGGATTCTGAGAAAGACTGGCCTGAAGGGGTTTGCCCAGATGTGTCTGAGGATCAGTATGACCCAGATTACTCTGAAAATACGGATACTGAAGAGTCGCAGCCACCTAATCTAGGCTATGATGTTGTAAAGATAAGTAAAGCCATGCTGACCTTCCATTCCACTCTAAGGGGAGCCTTGACAGAGCTTTATACACCTGAACCGCAGTGTCCCAAGTCCCAAGTAATCCCAAGTACCTACAAATCCAATGACCTTGAGGAGGATAGCACCACATTTGGTGAATCAAATGTAGAGACTGTTGTACCTATTGATGGCGCAACTTCAGATGTGTCTCCTCAAAAAGGCATCGAAGCCTCTTTTCATGGGAAGGAATTGCAGGAATTACATACTGCAACTGAATACTATGCAGCAGACCACTCAGATACTGTAGAGGAACCTCTAACAGATCAGAAGCTTTCCAATCTGCAGTGTATTCCAGAGTTTAGCCCAAAACATGTGGATCTGAGTTCAGGGATTGTTGATTCTT